GAACTTTATATTAAGGAACTTGCATGTGAATTGCTTTGTTATTATCATGGAGAAAATCTGGAAACGAACTGCTCATTAGCGAAGGACTGAGTATATAAATCGTTATATGTCCATGCAGCAGCACAGACTGCAATGGAGGCAGGGACATGGGCAGGTCTGGAGACAGAGCCTCACAAGAATGTGAAAAGCTCCCAGAGACCCTTAGCACACACCCCTCTCCCCATGCCACCCCACGCCTTATCCCGCCCCCCTTGCTCCCTGTAACCTGGCTGCCTATGTCTGCTGGCTAGCTGCTGGACAGCCAGTCCCCAACAGCCCCGAGTAAGCAATCCCTTCCCTATAAAAGTCCTTAAGACCGGAGGTATGGGGCTCAGTCTCTGGATACGAATCCACTGAGCCACGTGTCACCACAGTAAAGTTCTTCCTTTTGTTAGAACCCACTTGGCATTGGCAACTCCTTCAGAGCAACTCCCATAACACAACCTCCCTCCTGCACTACTGTCCTTGTCTAATATAAAGAAAAGTTTGTATGGTCCTATATCGGGGTTGTAAAGCATAGAAAGTGTTGGGAACTTGTAATTCGTTTTTGTGTGGTTTGAATGACAAGAATGTATTACTTTATAAAAAATTACTAAGGTTACAGTTGCTAATTTTCTGCACCATCTGTATAAGGGGATAGCATTAGTTCTTAGTCACACCAAGGAGCCTTGGTGGCACATGGGTTATGAGTTGAGCACTGGGATCAGAAAGGTCGGCAGATCAGAACTACAATTTGCTGCTCAGGAGAAAGATGGATCTTTTTACTGCCGTAAGAGTTACAATCTCAAACTCGCGGGCTATGAAGTCACTAGGAGTCAGCATTTATTGTTGGCAGTGAATTTGGAGAGTTTTTTTTTTTGGTCATACCATGCTGGCGCAATGGAGGTATAGTTCCCAAACTATATCTTATATATAGCCACTACCAACTTTCAGTGGAGGTGTGTGTATTGCTCTGATACAAACAGGTTTCAGTGGAGCTTCTAGACTAAGACATAGACCAAGCAGAAAGACCTGACAATATGCTCTCCTAAATCAGCCAGTGAAAACCCTGTTGGTCACACAGAAACGAGTATGCACTAGGCAGCGTTTCTTTCTGTTATTCATCATTGATTGCCATGAGTTGTGGGCAGAATTTATGGTAGCTAAGAACATCAACAATAACTGTTAGCATTCTTATAAAAAATAAAATAGAAGTGGGAGTTGGGGGGCAGGGGAGGAGAGAGTTGGGATGCCTGGTATGCAAAATAAGCATTGTATTAGAATTTTTTTTTTAACAAGAGGTGGTGGTAGTTCAGTGGTAAAAATCTTGCTTTCCATTCTAAATATCCAGGTTGTGTACAATTTATGAATTGTAATGGAAACATCATTTGTAAGATTTGAACCTCATTCCTACTGTGTTTCCTGGGCACAATGCATTCTATAAACCAGATTGATGTGTAAAATCAAGTAATGGTAAAAATCAACTAATAGGTTTCCTAATGTACACCCCCCTTGAAAAATTAATGATAGTATTTTATCATGTTTATGGCTTTTCCATAAATTTGTCCTGATTTTCATGTTTATTACTGCTTGAAAAAACAAAACGTTATTCACGGTAAACACCAGAAAGGTTACTTGTACTCAACTGGTCATCACGTCCCTGTGTTTCTTCTGGTACAATTGTGTTTGGGAAGAAAAGTGCTTTTGCTCATGTATTTAAATTGTGTGTGTGTGTGTGTGTACACATAGAAAACTCCAGCCTTATCTTAAAATTGCCCACAGTGCTAGATTTAGAGCTAATATATGTAGGATATGATATAGAGAGATATACAGTAAGTTTATTCATTTTTTATGGCTTTTTAAACGTGGTTATCAATGAAAAGTGTTTTAACTAGTTATCATCACTGATATCCTTCAAATTAACCTAGTCTGGGTTCCACACACTATTTCTCAAACTACATAGTCAAAAATTGTTTTGTGACCTTTTTTATTGATATTGGTATTTCTGTGGTTCACTGAAGCTTAAATTGACCTTGAAAGACAGCAATTGGTATAGTTATACTTTGGTAAAGAGAAGACACAGAATTTCTGTGCGTTATGGTAGAAACATGAAGCAGGTGGTAAGCCTTTCATGAAATTTGTTGTATATGAGTACCAATGCTGTGCCAAGACATTCCACTGATATTGAAGAGGCTTTACAGGTGACTAGTTTACCTTTGAGGAATGTTTATACTGCCAGAGGGAGGACTGCAGGATTGTAAATTGCTAAAACAGAAGACCTGCTAGAATATATAAATACCAAGAGATGGAATTTGTTGTGCCTCTTGATGTGTGGCTGTAGCCACTGAAGACTGAGCTGTGTGAAGTGTTCCATCTTTTCGGACTCCTGAACATTGTCTCCACTACACCGTACACCTACCCCACACCACCCTCCTCATAAATTTAATGTCACAGGAAGTAGAAACCAGAAATTTTTGTTGTATATAACTAAACAAATCTGTCAGAGTTGCTTTCCCTGGAGTTCAGTGGCTTGGCCCTACCATCATTCAAGGCAGCCCCTTTGCTTGTGTAAAGAAGGGCTTGCGTTTTCTAGATGCTTGCTATAGAAACCCAAAACCCAAATCTATGGTTTCCGATTCATTGCTACCTTATAGGACAAAGTAGAGCTGCTCCACAGGGTTCTAAGGCTGTAATTTTTACGGAGGGGAAAATACACTCAAGCTGAAAAAATTAGAAGAATTCACTCCTTGAGTTGTGCTAATGAAGAATTTCATGGGCAAAATATTAGATGATAGAAAAAGTAATAGAGAAAGAATATACGTTATTAATACAAAAATAATTTCCCTGCATTCACCTATTTTAAGAGGTAGTATATGATTAAGAATCATTGATGGTATTGGAAGAAGGTAAAGCTGTATTGAAGGTTTTAGCAAAAAACATGACTCTAGGAATTAACAGAATACCATTTGAAATGTTTCACTAAATTAACGAGCATTGGGAGCATTCACCTATGCCAAGAAATTTTCCAACAGACTGAAGAGATCCATATTTGTACCCATTCCAAAAGAAGGTGATCCAGCACAATGCAGATATTAATTTCACATGCAGGTAAAATTTTGCTGGAGCTAATTTAAAAACTACTGCAGCAGTATATCAACAGGAAACACCCAGAAATCAAGGTGAGCTTAGAAGTGGCCATGGAACAAGGGAGATTGCTGATGTCAGATGTATCTTGGCTGCAAGAGAATAAAAGGTGAAAAAAAGTTTACATCATTGACTCTGAAAAGCATTTGATTGTGTGGATCATCACAAACTCTGGTAAACAGAAAATGGGAACTCCAGAACATTCGATTTGTGCTTATGTGAAACCTGTACATAGACCAAGAGACAGTGATTCAAACAGAACTAGGGAATACTATGTGGTTTAAAATCAGGAAGGGTGTGTGTCAAGGTTGTATCCTTTCACCACATGTAACCAACCTGTGTGTTGAGAAAATAATTCAAGAAGCTGGATTGCCATCAGGATTGGCAGGTTAATTAATAACCTGCATTATGCAGATGACACAACCCTGCTTGCTGATGAAGGTCAAGGGTGGCAGCTTTCGGGATAGATTGCAACTCAATGTAAAGGAAACCAAAATCTTGACAACTGAACCAACAGAACATAAGATAAATGGTGAAGAATCCAACGTTGTCAAGTATTTCCATTTTGCTTGGTTTCTGCTCACAGAAGCAGCAGTCAAGAAATCAAACTATATTGCATTGGGCAAATCTGCATCCGGCCCCTTCAGAGTGTGAAAGAGCAAGGATGTCACTTTGAAGAAGGTGTGCTTGCTCCTAGCTATAGAATTTTCAGTTGCCTCATGTGCATATCAAAGATGAACAATAAATAAAGGCTGGGAATAACCGATGCATTTGAATCATGGTATTGGCTGAGAATATATTGAAAGTACCATGGACTACCAGAAAAGCTAACAAATCAGTCACGGGAAAAGGATAGCCAGAAGGTTCCACAGAAGCGAGGATGTTGAGACTAATTCATGGGCTTTAGACATATGAGAGATCAAGTCCCTGGAAAAGGACATTATACTTGGAAAAGTAGAAGGTCAGCGCCCCCCCCCCCCAAAAAAAAAGACCTTCTACAAGATGGATTAATGTAGTCACTTAGATGGCACTTTGTGACCAGGCACCATGCATAACAAGGTGAGGATGACACAAGACTGGCTGCGTTTCTTCCATTATAAACAGGGTTGCTATGAGTTGGAACCAACTACCACCTCTTTTTCTCACCGAGTGACTGCTGGGTTTGCACGGACTTGTGCTGAACCCATGCTCCCCATGCCTAGTGTGGGACCACTAGACCACACTAACCGGTGCTTCCCCACTGGTGCAACATTGTAGATCGTCACGTTTTCTTAAAAGGTAGATATGCATGAGATGACAGGACCTTTAGAATACACAACGTGGATGTGTGTTAAGAGGTAAGATCATGATCTCAGTCAGTCATGTAGCCATCTGAAAGTATCTGTTTTATAAGCTTATAGAGACTGACTTCTTGTATGTAAAGTACTGAGAGCCACCCACCCACTGCCACGGAGTCGATTCCTGCTCAGAGTGGCCATGGATAGGGTCTCTGGGGCTGTAAGTCTTTATGGGAGCACACAGTCTCTCTCTCCCCTGGAGTGGTGCCACTAGTAGAGATGCTTAGTACTTTGGGAACACTGTAAAAGTTTTGGATATCATTTTTGAAAAGCACAGTGGATAATGTGAATAGTAGTATACCATTTGTGTCAAAGGAGGATATTTGGATATACAGTATTCTAATGAGTTAGTATGAGTATTTCTGTAAAAATAAAACTGGAAATGGTTTCTCTGGGATAGGAGGGAAGCATTGTGTCCACTACTTCCTTTTTTTAACCATAATTGTTAGTTTTAATAATGAAAGGGATTCTGCTGTAAATCACCATTGGTTTTCTGTCCAGATGGCCCTGCTGAAGCACCAGTAACCAATGGGAACCCAACCACGATGCCAGCCCTGAGTGATGACCTGGACATCTTTGGACCAATGATCTCGAATCCCTTGCCTCCAGGTCAGGTAGGTGACACAATTGAGGCTATACCTGCTTATTTTCTTTTTGAAAAACTTTCGCTCTTGGAAATTGTTTCTGGGAAAGCCCCCCACCTTTTAAGCCAGGAGTCAGTAAACTGAGGCTGCAGCTTGATTTTATAAATAAAGTTTTATTGGAACACAATTATTCCCATTTGTTTACCTAGAGTCTGTGGCTGCTTTTACACAACAAAGGCAGAATTAAGCTTTTTCATGGGAGACTGAGAGGCCTGAAAATAGTCTCTTCTAACTGTTCACAACAAAATTCTGCTAACCTTTTCTTTTTCCCCCTAAATGTAGGAGTAAGGAGTTAACAACTGTGTTTAGAATGAACCTGTGGAAAACTCTTGCTACTTCAACCTTGTTTTAGATCAACAAGGTCATTTACTTCAGAGGTTTTCAAAGTGTAGTTTTCGTTTCTAACTATTGACTGGAAGTCATTAGTTCTTTCTGCCCCATTACCATGGTGGTGGTGGTTTCTGCTTGTAGGGGAAAAAAAATTAATTATAGCACAGTCAGTGCTCATTTTCTTTTCCTACTTCATAGTTGTGTTTTTGATTAAAATGTAGCTTTTTATGAAAATAAGTGGTTTTAATAGCCTTAAAACCACACCCACCCAAAGAAATTATTTTAACTATTTAGAATAGTAATTTAATGATTCAAAAATATTAACAGTGAGGAATTTTTGAATTGCCCTCTTAATATTATATAGAATATCTAGAAAGTAAAGTATATGACCTATCAGACTAGGTTATATTCTTTTAAGAACTTAAATAATACATACATCTTTAAAATTCTATTTTTAATTTTTACTGTTCAAATATAAGCAAACAGTTTCAATACAGCATGGTTTTTTGGGTAAAATATTTCTCTAAAAGAACAGAATTGTCAGGTTGGAATGCTTTAATATTTTTAGGCATTAAATATTAATTACGGTTAATTGTATAGTTATATTACCACTAGAATTGAAAAAATAGAATGAAGAATGAGATTAAACAGGTCTTTTGTCAGACTTGTCTCCAGCATTATGAACAATACTGGTCTTTCCCCAATACATAAAAAGATTAAACAATATTTCAATTAACATTAACTACCTTGTAAATTTGTGTGCATCTCAGAGTAAAAAAAGGTGCCGAGCCCCTAGTATTATAGCCATAGAAAGAAGAATGTAGGACATTTAACAATCTGAGCATGAAAAGCAGTTCATTTGGGTTTAGCATTCTAGTGAGGCTGTTAACATCTGCTAGACTTCTTTAAATTCCATTGGGTATGGGAGTTGCTTTTAACTGTTTGGAAAATTAGACATCACATCTGAGGCTCCATTGGAGTTTGGGTTGTGTGCAGGAACAAAGCAGCAAATAGAGCAGTGTGCGCTTCACTGAACTCTTCAGTGTAAGTAGCACCAGGACAAGGTCAGCTGGGGGTGTGTGCTTGCTTCCTGGCTGTAGGAGGGGACTTACCCAGCTACCATAGGTTGTATTTCCTGACTAGTAATTGATGTGGAACTGAAAATTTTAATTCACATCTAGATGATTTGTGAGTGACAGATGTGTTGACTCTCGTAAACTATCTGGTGAGCAGAATTAGCTCTTATGTGAACTAAATATAAAGATTAAAATCCAGACTTTTTTCTCCCTCCAGAATGATACTTTGAAGATAGAGGATGTGCATGCATCTGTAAAAAGGGCATCTGTCAGACCTACTCATCTAACTTCACAAGTGGGAAGGGGGGGTCATCAGCCTGAGGTGGAAGTCAGACATGTCTCTACGCTCCAGCTTTTTCACTAATTCTGATGTGATCAACCCCTCCCATAGCAGTCCCCACTTCTCTGTTGCATTCAATAATGTATTGCAGGGGCCACACCCAATTCACAGACCATCTTTACAGTTATGGTCTTTATTAAGAAGAAATGGGGTACAATTCAAGATTAGGAATGACTCAGGATCCAGTTAAGATCAGTTGTCTGCAGGCTGGCCCTCAGCCCCCTAGCGTCCACCTATGTCTGCTTGCTTACAAAGCCCTTTAGCTCTGTCAGTAAATACCCAGGGACACCCCATTCCATCAATAAGCCTTGGCCCAAAGTTGCTGAGGACTTGTTCTTGGGCCAGAGTGTCCATTGTGCCATTTTACGATCGCTTGCGGTTCGCGGTTCTGTTGTTCTCACTTCTCTCCATCTTGCACAGTCTCTGTCTCCTGGGACGAGAATATTCCCAGTGCAGGGTCCGAAGGACACAATCTGTTCCTGTGTCCCTAGGTTGGTGATAGTGAGGTCCTATTTTTTTGCGTCTGGGATGGTCCATTTTAAACCTAGTGGAATGGCAAAACTCTACGCTCTTGTTGTAAAGGTCGGTACACCTTACTTGCATAGTCCTAGCCAACCATTGGGCAGGAGATACAAGACCATGAATAGAAAAGCCATATAAATAGGATCTGTCCCACTGTACCTTCCAAACGCAGCTCGTGTGAGGAGTGAAAACATCAAATTTTATGAATACACTGATATAATGTAATTTACCAACTTTGGTAGATTTTTATTTGAAATTGAATTCAAAGAGTTTGTTTCTTAAGATTGAGTTACTCTGAACCATATATTTTTTTCCCTTCTATTTTATTTTATGGAGCAGAGTGAAAATTCTAGTAAAGGATTTTCCCACTCATGTGAAAGAGTACTGTCCGCTAAGGGGGCTCTTTAGCTGACAAGAAGGTACATGTGGTTTTTGGGTGGGGACTCCTTCTAGAGCAGTGGTTCTCAACCTTCCTAATGCCACCACCCTTTAATACAGTTCCTTATATTGTGACCCCCAGCCATAAAATTATTTTCTTTGCTACTTCATAACTGTAACTTTGCTACTGATATGAATCGGGTGAAGGAAAGGGGTCGCAACCTACAGGTTGAGAACTGCTGTTCTAGAGCTTCTGTTGACAGAAGTCCCTTGCCTGTCCTGTGTGTAATATGCATTCACTATCAATATCCAGACCTGCACAGCTGCTGGGGCCTGTCCTACTTTGTCCTGGAAACCCCTTTGGTTGAAGGGCCTCAACCTCCTGCAGTAAAAAAATGACAGATAATAAATGGTCTATCTTTTATCTTTGAGGTTCTATGTTGGATACTTAAGTGCTTATAAGATGACTAGACCATGGCATGATATTATAGTTCTCTAAGCAACATAACAGTAAACACTGAGTTAACATATCCTTGTGGGACTCCCTTTTGTGGTCATCAGGCAACTCTGTAAGGTAAAAATCTTTTTTCTTATTTTTAGCAACATAACCTTTAATGAGCACGCAGTTTCCTTCGTGGCAATATAAGAGTCTTAGTTATAAAAAATATTTTTATTACAATTTGATAGAAAGAGACTGAGTAGAGAAGTTGGTGGTGTGTGAGGCTAGGCGGGGCAAGATCCTAGTGCCCATGCGCCTGAGTCTTTGTGATCTGATCTGCCTCTTGTATTGGGTATTACCCATACCCAATTTCAGAAAAAAATAACTAGGTCTTTGTATCTCACATATTTTGCTTAAGCATAATATATTTGAAATAGTATTTTACTTAAATATTAGTAGAATGCTTGAATGGGTGCTAGTCATGACATTAGTTTTGTTTTTGTTTTTTTCCTTATGGAAAATTATGTATATGATCTTTTATCATCTTATTATATTCTGGGTTTGAGAAGAATCTCAGCCAATGTGCACTTATTTATCTTCATAGGATTTTCTACAACTTTTTCCATGTCTTAATCACATGTGTGTATAATACAGAAGATTAAGCTAAAATTTGTGCTTTATATGAAATACCTGCATGTGTATTCCTTTGCTCCATTTCCCAAAAGTAGATTCTAGTTATGGCTGATAGTATTAGTGGTTGAGATTTTTACTGTACTTAATTGCTGGGTAATTTAGATGCATTGTTACCTTAAAATATATTTCTCCAGATGAAGCTTTTTCATGAGCCTCAGCAGGACCTTCTTTCAGTCTCTGTGTAGTTGTAGAAATGTTCTTTATTCTAAGGGGTAGGTCCTCAGACCTGATGAGCAAAAGTTCTCTCAGCCTTGCAGGGAACACACAACCTATTATGGAGCATTGCTCTACTTCCTTTATAGTAGCAAGCTCAAAATGAGAAACATTGGACAATTTCACCTACATGTTTTTGTGTGAGTTGGTACATAATCCTGTTTAATGGTCAGTTTAAGTGTAATCCAATTGCTTCATTTGCCCAGTTTCATAATTTGATTTGGATCTAAGAGATGAACTATGCTTTACTCTGGAGAATTCACCAGTGCTGGTGTTTATCCCAGGGGACATCCACTGGACCAGTAGCTGCCCCCGTGTCTACAGTAACATCTGGTGATCTGGATCTATTCACTGAACAAACCACAAAATCAGAAGAATCCACAAAGAAACAGCTCTCCAAAGATTCCATCTTATCTCTGTATGGTACCGGGACCATTCAGCAGCAGACTACGCCTGGTAATTCTTCTACATAGCCATTCTTAGAAGTATGAATTGTGTTTCCTGTATTTTCTGTGTAATGAGTGGTTATACTATTGCCATTTATATGGCTGAGAAACAAATGAAACTTTAGAATGAAGAGACATAGAACTTTATTCATTTAGAATTATAACAAGCTATTCACATAACTTACTGTGGTTTGAAGTTTGGGCACATTGACATTTTCTCTGCAGGTACACAATATGTAATCTGAATTATCACATGGATTCCAAAAAGCTTTAAAATACATACTTTTAATGATGTGGCAATATGATTTGCTCACTTTTAATACCTGTCAAGACATTTCCTCTAAAACAACGAACTGCTTCAGTGAATCCAGATAGTCGCTCGCCTCTGACCTGTGGGAGACCATTGGATAGTTTGCAGAAACAGCATATAAACTCATGCGGTCTACTTTGGTCTTCTCGCTAGTGCACATTTCATCTGACATTTTGACAATAGTGAAAAATCTAAAATACCTTAAAAACCTGTTTTGAGTGATAGCCCTGCCCCTGAGCCCCAAATCCATCTCATGAATATTGATTACGAGAATTTTTTAAAGGGCCGCAGAGCTGTGGTTTGGGGCAGCACCATGGTCACCTCTCCACAGACCCCACAGGTGTTTGCTAGGGGCCAGTATGCAGAGCCGCTCAGTAGGTGGACATTTCTCTGGAGAGCAAAAACTCCAAGCGGTCTCCTCCCTGACTCATCAGCTCTGTGCATACCGCTGCCTTCAAATGAGTGAGCATTCCCATAACAGCAGCTTTCACGTAGGGCTGTGAGAACATAACCAGTTTGATAAGGGAGGTGTCTGCATTCTGGAAGTAGGCAGCTCTGAGGGAACAACCAGACAAGGATTGTTTTACTGTGAGTACAGAAAGGCAATAATCGTTTTGCTGTGATTATAGAGAGCACAGCTGTTTGCAATAACCCCGTTTCTTTTCATGGTTGCATTGCAGGTGTGTTTATGGGGCCCACAAATATGCCATTTACCTCACAAGCACCAACTGTATTTCAAGGTTTTCCAGCAATGGGAGTTCCTGTGTCTGCAGCTCCTGGCCTTATGGGAAATGTAATGGGACAGAGCCCAAATATGATGGTGGGCGTGCCCATACCTAATGGGTTTATGGGGAATGCACAAACTGCTGTGATGCCACTTCCTCAAAATGTTGTCGGGCCCCAAGGCGGAATGGTGGGACCAATGGCTGCGGCGTCCCAGAGTAAGTTTGGTGTGCCGCAAGCTCAGCAGCCCCAGTGGAGTCTCTCACAGGTAGGGATACATTGCCCGCCAGATTTGTCTAAATGGTTTTATTAACGTAAAACTCTAGCAGGAAAAAAACAAACAGTAAAGATAGCAATTGATTAGAAGTTCAAACCCCTCTCTTAAGTCATGCTGGGTGGTGAGTGTGAGGGAGAGAATCCAGGCTCTCTCATGTCCTGGGGCCCCCACCTTCTTAAGGTATTTTCACTTGTGCTTGTTTAAGAAGCAGCCCAAGTGGCGTGAGCATGCTGTCTGCTTTCCTAAAAATCACTGCCTTGGAAAGCCTCTGGGCAGCTAGTTCTGCTCAGAGCTGCTGTGAGTTGTAATTGACGGCAGTGGGGCTGTTTTTTGTTTTGTTTTTTATAGAGGAAGGTGCCTAGAGAGTCCTCTTCCCTTCTCATCATTAAATAGCAAATTACCAGTCACAGCTTTGGTGTGTGGTCAGTATGCTGAAGCACACCTAGGGCACATCACGGTACTAGACAAGAAAGTCAAATGTGCCCTATTGTGATGTAGTTCGTATCTTTGAAAACTCTCAAATAATTGACTTACTTTCAAACTCAGTCTATGCTTTATGGAAACCTTCTTGCCTTTCCTTTTAGAGAATTACATAGCTTAAATGTATACCAAGGTGGGTGGGACATGAAGACGTGCAAATATTGTATAGCATATACTTTGCTTCAGATGAAGAAAAAAGGCGCTATGGCTGTAAGTAACCACTGAGGATCATGGCCCAGCCAAGTTGGCACATAATTCTCACCTTGGCGTTCCACGCTGCCAGACATAGGCACACTGCAAATTTGACATGTCAGATAGCTGAAAAGCGTATTATTCGTTAAAGCTTTTTAAACTTGTGTAAAGGTAGAATAATTGTTGTTAGAGTAATACTTATATACCAATATTATCTGTATTAAAAGATAGCTATCATATGACTGAGATCACTATATGGCAGTACTGGAAAGTGGAAGACATGAACTCAAGAGTAGCTATTTACTTCCTGTAGAGAAATAATGGTAGTCTGGTTTTGTTTTGTTTTACCCTAGTGCTTTGACTGTCACTGGTGAAAATAATAATCAAGTCTTTTGTGTTTCACAGATGAACCAGCAAATGGCTGGCCTGGGTATCACCGGTGCAAACCCCACAGTGGGCTTTGGCCAGCCCCCCAGCACGACGGCAGGATGGCCTGGCAGCTCATCGGGTCACACTCTCAGCACACAGCTTTGGAAATGAAAATGCAATACAAGTCTCGTCCAGAACTACCACCTGACGTTCCTGTTTCTTCATGTACATATTTTCTTTTTGCCCCATTCATTCATATTAAGAATGATCTGATTGACTGTGTGTTGGTCTGTACTGATTAAATTTGATGTGGTGAAAAGCAGGTTGAAAAACCACTTAGGTCAGGGCAGCTTTTCTTCTTACCCATGATTTCCTAAACCATTATTCTTTGAGAAGCTGCTCTCGGTCGACTTGCGTAATCAGTTTTACTCAGTAAAATTGTAGCTCTAATGTTTGCAGATAAGGGAAGTAGTTATCATGTTAGTAATACCTCTAACAGTATAAACCCTGCCCCAAATTAGCCAGTAATCCTGTAGGCAGATACTGTATGATCGAATGTTTAATCCTATAAATAGAATGTAAATGTATCACTGAACACTGTTTTCTAATGTATCAAGAGTCTTTGATCGCCTCGTTCCCTTCACTGTGCTGTTAGGATGACGTGTGTAACAGGGAAACATGGTTAGTGAAAGGGAGATAAACCTGGATGTTGCTCTAATTTCGTTTAATGAATGTTTAAACACTCACGTTTTTATCTGGATCGCTCTCCTTAGAAACATAGTGCTGATACGAAGACTTCCTCCGCACCATGTGCAAACAGGGTAACTACACAAAGCCACTTTCCGCTCCTGCAGGCATGTCCAGGTTTGTGACAGTAGTTGTGTTTACAATTTGTGGTGCCTAGTATTGACAAAATGTTATTTCCCTATATTAAACAGATGGATCCATAGATACCACCACCCCCTTTTTTGTGGATTTTATTTCCTGTGATAGATACTGCCACCAACCTTCCAAAAGCTACTTAATGTTGGAAAGTCAGGAACTGGGAACATTTAGTTGGCATCTGTCTCCCAGACCTTTTCGGTTTTACAAGGCCAAAGGTGGCGAATGTAAGAGATTAGAATGGTATCCTGCAGGTCATCTTAGCTGTATTGTACAAAGATGTTTGCTTGTGGGGAACACATAAAAACACAACGTTTATCATTCAGTTAGCTTATGTTAACCAGCAGGCTCTATTTGTACAGGTGTCCATCAGAAGTAAAATGAACAGTACCTGAACACTCTACAGCCTAAACTCCCGACATGCTCCTCCTTCCACACCGCCATTGCCGGGCAGTCTGCACCAGTTGCTGCTGTCCTTTATACCTCAATTTTCACTGTGTCCAGGTGGTACTTTGGCTCATTGGCCAGATTAACCTTCTCTGTCCGAGTGTGCCACACGAGAACCTGCAGAGGGGGAAATACCCAGGGTAGCTACAGCCACGTTCACAGTGCAGCCAGGCAAGCAGCACGCGTGAAAGGAATACCTTGGTGCAGTTGTTTGCTTTTGGCTCCAATTCTTCAACTGTTGTTATCTGTTTTAGAAAGTCAGACTCTTGCATCCCTGGCTGGGACCCATGGCGCTTAAATACAGCTTTTGGATTGGACAAGATGACTTGAAGGTTTACAGCAAATCCTTTGTGAAAAGTTGAAGAAAAGAAAATTAAAGTAAAATATTGGTGTACTTCTTTTAAATTGTGCTTACTATGTTCTAGGTCTTGGTTTACAACACTGAATAGGAGCATTACCTGTACTTAAAAACTTCATCTCAACCGGAAAAGCAATCATTCCAAATAGAGGAAACGCTGGGTTATGAACAGACCTCAGTGCTGTCTGCCGTGAAGTCTAGTCTGCTAATAGAGTAAATATGTAGAGTATGGCTGAGAATCCCTGAGTGGTGCCTACCACTGCCGACCCAGAGGTGAGCAGTTCTAGACCCTCTAGAGGAGCCACAGGAGGTGGTTCTGCTGCGGTGCACCAGGGGTCGTCGTGAGCCACTGATGGAAGTGACAGAGCAGCACAGAAACTGCCTGCCCAGCACCGTCCTGGGGTCAGAACTCACCCATTCTCCTGCCCTTTAGTTCTTTCACATGTTTTTAACTTCAGAATCAGCTTTGCTCCATTTTATGCATTGTTCAGGATTTAATTTACTTCTACCTGAACAGGAGAGAGGTGTGACTACCAAAGGAATCGAAACCTTAGATGAAGAAAACACATTTCTCGACATACCTTCATAATATCTAGGTCTATTGCACTTCTGAAGGCAGTGCTGCCCTCTCTGCCCCAGTGGCAGTTGGCACGCACTTGTGGAACTCAAATTTAGGGAACAAAAAAGTTTGAGGGGCAAGACCAGGGCTGTAGAGTGAGTGGGCTAAAGTTTCCCAACAAAATTCCCCTGGGATAGCCCTCACTACCCTCCCAACACTGAGCTGCTGCATTGTTCTGATGGAAAAACGTTCCCAGTGTAGTTTTCAGACTTCTTCCTGATAAGACCTGTAATCAGCCGGGGGCTTTATAGAAAATCTACCAGGACTACCCCTTGGGGATCTCTTGAATCTGTAGCCATAACCCTTTAAAAGCCAGTGGTTCTCAACCTTCCTAATGCTGTGACCCTTTAATACAGTTCCTCATGTTGTGGTGACCCCCCAACTATGAAATTATTTTCGTTGATACTTCATAACTAATTTTGCTACTGTTATGAATTGATCACTCGACCCCCAAAGGGGTCGTGACCCACAGGTTTGGAACCACTGCTCTGAGCTGACTGCCTTGACTTGATCCCCCAGAAGCCACTGCTTTGATGGGACTCGATTGTCTTTTTGACGGCATCCTGGGACTCAAAAGCATTACAGTAGAACTCCTGACCTCAACGCTAAACCTTTCTAGAAGGAGCGTCGAGATGTGATGCAGTCGCGTTCCGAATCAATTTTTCCCATAAGAAATAACTGAAAACAGATTAATCTATTCTCGACCAGTTTTACCCTACTCTTGCCTTTTTATACCAAAACAGGACAGAAATTTCCATGTAAATAAGTTCAGAGTTAAATAATATAACTTAAATAAGGATCAAAATTAAGGTTTTTACAACTACAGTATCGCCCAAACCTTGAGATTGAGGTAGATGTGGAGAAGAGGCATGGAGAAAGTCATTGTTTGGAAGGGCAATCTCATAAAATCAACTGGTAGCAGCTTTTCAGGAGTTTTTTCCCTCCATCATTACCTTTTTTTCACTAGCACCTGGCTGGTTTTCTCTAAAATAATAATCTGTTGGTGTTTCCTTACCTGTTTTCTAAAAGGGTGTACTCAATTAACAGTATCGCTAACACAGGTAACCAAACTCTTACCTAGGACCCATGTTTTTAATCTAAAAACGGTACAAAATGCCACAAAAACTAAGAAAATTATAGCAAAACGCTAGGAACAGAGCCTCAAAAGGTTTGAACAACTCATACTAATGATGTCAATTAACGAGTGCCCGAAACACAAACTGCTTTTGTTTACCAAAATCACGTGCATCGGGTCAGATTCCGCTGTTCTGTTCCAGCCCCGATGCAAAATTTTCTCAACATTTCCTGTCAAAATCTGAGAAAGCCCAGCTGCTAAAAGTACAAGCCATTTCAGCAAGCATGATTTCGGATGGCCAAAGTGCACTAAAAGGTCAGACAAGGGCCAAGGCCCAGGAATAAGTTCCTCAGTACCGCTGTGCCCCTCTCCACCTTGGGTACGTTGGCCTGTATTCTTTGTGTCACACAACACGGTAACTGCCAGATGACCCTAGGCAGCAACCCCAGGTAAACCCAAACAGCATTCCCATGACCTCATTCAGACAGACCCTGCTGCCTCCACGAGAAACTTCTCAGGTAGCTGCACGTGAACACGCCTTTGCCCGCTTGCTACCTTGGGCTGAGTGCAGCTGAGCGTAGAAACCACCAGCCTTGGGACTGGCCAAAGTGTCTCCGCAGCTCCTTCACCTGGAACACCGGCCATGTTCTTTAAGTCCTCGTGACCCTGCAATGGCTCCATGTCCTTATCCGAAAGAGAAGTGTTGACCTCTGTGTGGATGTCAAATTAGCTAAGGTAGGGGAAGATTCCATTGTTAACATTCTACAATCTAGAATTTTAAAAACCCTAAGCTATTTCCATGTAATGAGTGGGCAGGTGGCAGGAGCCAGACCCCCTGCGGTTCACACCACTGCACCAACCAGCTGGAAGCCTTCCACCCATGGTCCCCACGGACCTGTCCCAGCATTCTAATCAAAGCCTAGTCACACACACACACTAAGGGTTACCTTAGTGACCTAAAAAGTCACCTCGGGTTTGACTGTCTCCGTGTGCTTCATCCTTTCTTACCTAGGGGAGCACCTGCCCTTCCTAAAGCACACTCATCACCGGGTACATTTTCCACAAGGCTCTGGTACTGATTGCACTTCCCCATTTTCATGAAATAACCTGCCGAAGTCATTCGGAAAACAGTAAGAAGCCACTTTGATTTCCATAAGACCGTTTGGGGTATTTCTTTCCTTTGGCTCAGGAAGATCTTTGTAGCGCTTCAAGCGGCATCACATAGTAAAACCTACTATTTAAGCAAAAGCCAGCGCCAGTTGAGAAGCTAAAATCACTGCTGAAAGGCCCTCTCCTGGTCTCACTGGAGAATGAAGAGAGCCTTAAGACCAGGACCCTGGACAGCGATTGTAGTGGGGCAGCATGCCTCACAGGTGTGCTCTGAGAAGATTCCTGAAGACAAATGGGTGCATAAGCAAATGTGCCCGGCTATCAAAAGATATAGCGTCTGGAGACTTAAAGGTTTGAAGGTAAACAAGCAACAAAGCACACCAGCCTGTGCGATCACGAGGTGTCGAAGGGATCATCAGAGCAAAAATTCTTAGTGAATGAGGGGGGGTGGGGGGTGCGGAGTGGACCTTCAAAGCACATTTGTAGGCCACTGGACATCCCCTTACAGAAGGGTCTCGGGGAGAAGACGAGCCAGTCAAGGTGCGATGTAACAACGATGAAACAATACAACTTTCCTCTAGTTCCTAAATGCTTCCTCCTTCCCCGCTATCATGATCCAATTCTACCTTGCAAGTCTGGCTAGACTAGAGAATGTACACCGGTACAGATAGGAACTGGAAACAAAGGGAATCCAGGGCAAATGATCCCTTCAGGACCAGTGGTGTGAGTGGCGATACTGGGAGGGCAGAGGGAGGGTGGGTTGGAAAGAGGGGGGGCCGATTACAAGGATCTACATGTGACCTCCCCCCTGGGGGATGGACAACAGAAAAGTGGGTGAAGGGGAACTTCGGACAGGGCAAGATATGACAAAATAATAATTTATAAATTATCAAGGCTTCATGAGGGAGGAGCAAAAATGAGCTGGTGCCAGGGGGCTTAAGTGGAGAGGAAATGTTTTGAGAATGATGAGGGCAGTGAATATACAAATGTGCTTTACACAATTGATGTATGTATGGATTGTGATAAATGTATGAGCCCCTAATGATTATAAAATAATAAAAAAATACTATAAAAAAAAGAGACAGATTCGCTGCAGCACCTAAGTGTTCTGCCCTGTACAGCTGGCGAGGTGGTGGGCGGGACCCCTGGCTAACTAAGGCAAACCTTCGGGTGCTTTCTGGGGATAGCCCTCCCTGCTGTGAAGCTGGGGACAGTGAAAGAGTCATCCCTCCCTCCAAAGCTAAGGCAGAGGGTTTGTTTTCTGAAACAGGGATTTCTAGCCTAAGATGCCTTGGGGTTTCTTCACTCTTCAGTGAAATTAGCTTGAACAATGCTTTCAGTAGCTTTTAAGAGACAGGGAGCCTACAAACCACATGGGAGTCAGGACCTCGGCCCCCGGTCGGCAGAGTGAAAATCACAATGCAAATGGAAGTGGGGCTTCACCGCTGTGGCAAGATGTTGTGACTGGCGAAGTGGGGTGACCAGGTTCTCCCTCGGCCAAGGGGAGGCGCTGATCCATACACAGCTAGTGATGGCTCTTCAGAAAGGAAAGTGTAAGACACTAAAAGTGCAATATAAACAATTTCCACTTCTGGAGAAGGAGGCGGAGCCCTAGAGACGCAGTGGTTATGAGTTGGGCTGCAATCCCCAACATCTGCAGTTCAAAACCACCAGGTGCACTGCAGGAGAAGGACGGGGCTTTCTATTTCCACAAACACCTGGGTCTTGGAAACTCACAGAGGCAGTTCTACCCTGCCCTGTGGGGTCGCTGTGAGTCGCCATGGACCGCACGGACTTGAGTCTAGGGGTTGTTTTTTTTTTCCTTTGAGGAGGAGCAGTCGGGACCGGAATTTCCCCACTGTCTTAAATAATTAGAAACCAGACAAAATATTTGGACAACAGGTTTTTGAAGGGTAAAAAGCAGACAGATCCGAGACCTTTGGAAAAGGGGAAACAAGTGTGCCCTGCATTTGCCCACAGCTTACAGCATTGAGGGGAACTGTCCCAAACAGCCAGGCAGGCCTGGAGTGGAGGAGACCGTGTTCGGGGAGAACGAGGCAATCAAGGCAGCACACTGGTGAGGGAGGAAACCACCCACGATGTCCACCCAGTGAGCCCGCAGCACCTAGTGGGACTGCCCCATGGTGTCTCCGAGCGAGTCTGCGGTCTCTGCTACAACCCACTGTCACACCTTCCCCTGCCAGGAAAGACGCTGTTTGTATGATTTCATCA